GTATAACTTTTATAATTATTTTGACCCGTTCTACTCGTACACGACGGTTGCTCGATCAATTACCGGACACCCTGTATATATATACAGGGTGTCTCACACTCTCCTCCGGGCATTTTGTGGGGACGTTGAACAAGTTGAGATGAACATAAAAATCCTATACCGTTTTGCGATATTCGCAATAATTATCGAGATATTAATTGTAGAAAATTTGTGAATAATCATGTAGGATATGATAAATGAGTTATAATAGCGAGGACTGCCGTTATGTACTTATATTTTAGATCAAATTGAACGAAAAAGTCCTCTACCATTTTGCAAATAATCACATAGATTTTTAATTATTAATTAAAGAAAATGAGTGCATTATCACGCAAAATCGTGGAATAATCTTCTTTAATTAATAATTAAAAATCTATGTGATTATTTGGAACATGGTAGAGCACTTTTTTGTTCAATTTGACCTAAAGTATAAGTACACGACGGCAGTCGTCGCTACTATAACTCATTTACCATATTCTGCATGATCATTTACAAGTTTTCTATAATTAATATCTCGATAATTATTGCGAATATCGCAAAACGGTATAGGACTTTTATGTTTACCTCAACCTGTTCTACGTCTCCATAAAATGCCCGGAAGAGTGTGAGACACCCTGTGTATATACATACATACATACATACATACATATACATATATATATATATATATTTGTGTGTGTGTGTGTGTAGTATATATATATATATTTTTTTTTATACAACCTACTTTTGTTAATTACATAAAATGAAAACGAATTGTTCTCAATTATCTAAAAACGCGTTTTAATCGAAAATTTCTAGTAACTTTTGATATTAGGTAGGATCAGATATTTATGACACCGAGTATATTTCGTATATTACGCAACATTGGCTTCTAATTCTTTATAATAGTTATCTTATTATAGTATAATAGGTGTAGAATTTTATTTTTTATATATCAAATAGGTATTAGACAATCGATCAAATGAGCGATCATTTCTTTAGGTTAGATATTAGATAAACCATGTTGCGCAACCGCGCACCATTGTAGCTGCGTTTTCAATGCTTTCACGCTGATAACGTCATTCCATTTTTGTTTTTCATTACATCCCGAAGAGAGAGTGTTGCATTCAGCACAAAAATATTAAAAAATGTACGCAGCCTTTATATCGCTTATATAGATATGTACGATACTTATTTTATATCCAGTTATATACTTAGATATACTTATATATTTATTTACATATATCTCAACTCTATTTGTCATTGTGTCGAATGCATTGCAATGCTTGTTGTCATTTACGAAGGAACAGTTGCATAAATAAATTTATTGAATTTATTTTTAATAAAAAAAAACAAAATTTCGGATTTTTATGAATCAAATCGCTATTAAGGACCAGGAATTTTGTTTCTTTTAATCTAAACACGTTTAGTTTTTTCATTGTGTTATTTATTAATTTAATCAAACTTTTACCCCTCTGGCAATAAATTATGCATGACATATATGAAAGTTATAATTTAATATGGAAATTTTTTTACACGTTTTCTTTTCAAAGCTATTGAAAAAGTTTCCTATTTTATGAAAAAATTTTGTGTACAGTTTTATATTTTGCTATTTCTTTCATGAACTAGTACTTTTCTTGAACTTCTTTGTAAATCGTAAGTATATCCTAGTTGAGAATAAGATTATTTCTTTGGCACTTTTTTGATTAATATTTTTATCTCCGAAAAAAATCCTCTACGCGTATATGTAAACGTTCGGTTACATACGCGGTACATATCTGTCGAATATATAAATAGGCATATGAAATATATGCTATATAATGTATATATATATATATATATATATATATATATATATATATATATATATATATACACACACACATATATACAGGGTGTCCGGTAACTGATCGAGCAACCGCCGTGTACGGGTAGAACGGGTCAAAATAATCATAAAAATTATATACCATTTTAAAATTTCTCAATATTTATTCTGTAAATAATTAAAATATATAAACGAATGAGCTCATGAGAAGCGGTAGGACAGGCTTTGTGTGTAAAAGAAATGGCTTAGCAACCTTTTAGCAACGATGAATAAACAGCTGATTTCGAGGCGGAGTAACGTATACGTGTCGCTTGTTACTCCGCCTCGAAATCAGCTGTTTACTCATTGTGCTAAGAAGTAAATCATTTCTTTTACAAAGCCTGTCTTATCGCTTCTCGTGAGCTTATTCGTTTATACATATTAATTAATTACGGAATAAATATTGAGAAAATTTCAAAATGATATATAACTTTTATGATTATTTTGACCCGTTCTACCCGTATACGGCGGTTGCTCGATCAGTTACTGGACATTCTGTATATATATATATATATATACACGTATGTGAGGTACGTATGTTACGTACATTGTCAACTAACCTTGAGAATCTCATTGTTGAAAATAAGTGCTAAGATAGTGATGCCAGACAATATTACGGAGGTTATATTAACACTGTCCAAACTATTAAAAACGTCTACATAAATCTGAAACGATCAATAAGGCAAATGTTGACATAAATAAAATTGGAAAGGAAACATCCTGAAAAGAAATACTTATTAAAAGATATGTATAATAAAAGGCGTATATACATAGTGTTGCATTTATATGACTTTAAAATCATCTAGATGATTCTAAAACTATTTAAGCGCAACATTGCGTATATATATATATATATATATATATATATATATATATATATATATATATATATATATATTTAGATGTGTGTGTATGTATAAAATCTACATTAAGAACTGTGTGTTTATCAACTTTTTAGTTCTGATTAGCTATTTTTCTTTGCGCAATGTTAGATTAATACGAGTCGTGGCGCGATACAAACGTTAACCCTGACCTTTGCCACTTCGAGTAACTTTGGCACGTATTACGTAACATTTCCGTGGCGTTTAAATTACAACTTGATTACCCCGGAATATTTACTGGAAGTATTCGCTATGACTACATAAATATTTGATAATTGCGAATGTTTTGTTTGATGACAAAATGAGAGGAGAAAAAGATTGTATCAGAGACGAGGTAAGGTGAGGCTTAACCATTGTTTGCGGCGCCAAACGGAACTTGGTACTCACAAGAATAAGCTTGAATGCACCCCCGCGCCTCGGCAGCTTGTTCAGCCCGAGGAGATCCTTTATTTGCGATGTAAACACATGCATCGCCGCTGCAGTCGTGAATCCGCTCACGAGGCTGTCCGCAAGGAGAGATGAAATCACACCCAAACGCAGCACGTACATTCCTAACTAGACCAGAGATTTTCAGTAATGTTGCAAAAATTTAAAAGAACGAAATGCGATGCACAAATAAAATAAGCGAAACACGTAAGCAATCGAAGCAGACCTCCGACGAGAAATATTAACCCTTCGATTCCCAATATATGTATCCTTAACACTAGAATGTCTAATGGAGTTGACTCTTTTAAGGTCTTCCTGTTGTCGCTATTTTTTTTTTCGTGATTTGAGAAAAATTTATCGTGAAAATTTTTGTTATTTTCATGATTATCCTTAAATTTTTATTTATTTTTAAAGTTGAACGCACTGAAAAAGTAACGGTAATAAATCAACGATATTATGATGCATTATTGCAGTATAAATCAACGATATTATGATGCATTATTTTATGATTTATATTGGATTTACTAAAATAAACATTTTGATTTTTTATTTAATTGTCGGTGTTATGAGGACAGTATATTAAATATTATTAAAGATTTCAATTTTCTAATCTTGATTGAGTTTATATTCTATTCTGTGTTTATTCACCAGAATTTTTTTATTAATTACAAAGAACATGTGAAATAATAATTATAATGCATCTTATTATAGAAAAGTATAAGTTTAGAAAACTCTGAAAATTGTCCTAATTTGTTTACAATATAAAATGTTAATATTTTGCAAATTGCATTCTTAGCATGTTCAGAAATCATCATTGATACGAGTAATGAGAAACAGAGAAAGTTTTGAAACATTATAATTACAAAGAGGTAAAATGACTCTTTCTGATATTTAAAATAGATGGTCGTTCCCAGGCATTTTATACGAAGAAGAAATTTGATTAAATTAACCAAGTGTCTCGTGAAATATGAACAAACTAGAATTCCAATTGAAATTACCAGAATTCTGTTCAAGATTCTGTTCAAGAAGTATTCTGTTAATTAGAAGTATATCTTGTTTGGTTAACAAGAATCTTGTTAACTTGAACAGAATTCTAGCAATTTCAGCCGATAATCTGATTTATTCATTATATTTTACTAGACATCTAGTTAATTCAACCAAATTTTCTCCCGCGTAGTATTAAGGATATATAACATATCTCTAACAATAAAAATATTTTGATTGATTTGATTGATTCGCGTTGTTTAATAGAGGTCTTTTAGAGCTATTTAACTATAGCTATTTTCCCTTTATGTATCTTGGAAAAAAGACAATTAAATTTCAATCAATCTTTATCTAAATTTTTATTTTAAAAGTTTTTAATTTCTTCCTGTGTGTGTAAAATTATCTTTTAAATCTAATTTTTGAAACATCATTTACTGTAATAATAAATTTATAAAATAAAAAACTGTGATTCAAGGGGTTAAATATACATGTATAGTTTCTTAAATAAACGTTAAAGATAAATAAACAAACGAGTTGAAGTGAAACAAAAGCAGTTATAGCAAACAAAAATATAGAAATTCCCAAGAATTTCAATTGAAACTTTTTTAATTAAAAGGATTTCTAGGAATATACATTCAGCGTAGTGTTGTAATCTCTTTTATTTGGTTCGTGTACGATGCAATTACCTGTATGACGGCAACTGTGAATGTGACTGCGGTCGCAACCTCTATTGCAGAGTATTGATGACTCACGTTGGAAATTGAGGTGCCGTTCCCGACTAACGTGTTATTCATCGGGACTGCTACGGAACTGTATGTGGTAACGACTTTTCCAGTCATCATACACACGAGCGCAAATGTGCCTTAATTAACAGAGCACCGACGATTCTACTTAATTACAAGTCTTTTTTATTATCGAATTAAAATGTTAATATGAAGAAAGTGCAAAATTTTAAATAAATTTAGACGATACGTAAATTCTTTTATTAATAATTCGTATTCTCTGATTAATAGACAGTTTATTAATTATTTTCGCGAGTATTGAGAGGAAATAAATATTTGTTATTTTGGTTTGGAGATGCTTTATAATTCGACTAAGTTAACTCAATAGTGGATTTTTACCCATCGAGTTGTGTCTGGACGTGCCGAGAAGGAAATATACCAACACTGGGAAGAAAGCCATATACATTCCAACAATCGGCGGTACATTGCCTAAAATCGCATATGCCATACCTGCGAGAAAAACATCGACCCATTATACGATTTAAAGAATTCATATCATATCTAAATCGTCATAAATATGGTAATAGTGCGATTAAATGTAGATAGTAAAAACAAAATTATAATATAATATAAATGCATAACGGAGGCTAAAAGCAAAACTATAATAAAAGCGACAGTGACTATACTTTACGTGAATACGAGTCTTTAATGCGTGTCTTTAGACAACATAACTTTATTAAAGATTGAGTTGTTAGTAGAGACAATGTCAATATTTTCAGCAGTATTTTTGTAAGACCGTGAGTCATAAATGATATCGTTTATAAAATGCAATATCCGATCTTTCATTATCATAATAACTTGGTGAATATATGTTGTCTACATTTGAATATCTGGTAATCTATAAAATATCGAATGCCGCAACTAAGAAAATTATCACAATTTTCTCTCGTGGATATATTCGATAATAATACCTTTCATATTTTTAATAATTTTTTCTACTTATATCGTGCATTATACTTATATAGTACGTTATACTTATATAGTACGTTTGGTAAATAACTTTATTTAATAGGTCGTACTGGATAGGTCGTACTATTATTGTGTTTTTCAGATATTTAAAAATTAAAAATTAAATTAAAATTGGATAAGATGAAAGTACCAATAAATGTTTAGACACGTACACCAGAATCCAAATATTTTGGGCCATTCCTTAGATTAGGACTTACTAATAATTTTTCCGCATATCCACTTCTACGTAATCTTATGACGTGATTGTTGATTATTCGAAAAAACGATGTATTCAAGCAGCTGTGACATTTTGACAGTTTGACATTTTATTTACGTCAATTAGAAGAGTTATTCATTCATATATTAAGAATAATAAAATAGAAAATAGAAGTAGGGATAATAGAATACAAAAGATAATATAATTTTCAAACTAATATAACGTTTTATAGTGTTTTAATTAACGTTTTAATTAATGTTTTATAGTAAAAAATGATAAGCTTACATTAAATTGAATTACAGCGATTATCTTACATTAAATTGGATTATATCACTTCCCTGTCGATTACGTGTATATACTAAGTAAATAAACCTCTTTGTTGTAAAAACGTCATAGTTACTTGGATATATTGGCGTCTCCAAACAATTAACAGTTATGACACACGACTACGTAGTAATAAATGCGTTACGTTGAAAATTTTTTGTCTCTCCCGATCTAAAGAACGGCTAAATTTTTTGTCTCTCCCGATCTAAAGAATGGCTAAAAATATTTAATTACATGGCTAAATATATATATATATATATATATATATATATACATGTATATACATATATATATATATACATGTATATATATATATATATATATATATATATATATTTAGTATATACACGTTATAAAACATTATTAACAAAATATGTTTGTTTTTATGTTCTCTATTTCTCCTAAAAGTTTGTCGGTCTAATTTTTTTACACCCTGTATATACATATATATATATATATGTGTGTGTGTGTGTGTGTGTGTGTGTGTGTGTGTGTGTGTGTGTGTGTTATTTAAAAATACTATTAAATACAATTTATAAAAACAAAGCTGTTTATTAGAGAAACATACCTTGCGGAATATGCATTACAGCCACGGTAATGCCGGCAACAACATCTCCCAATATATTGCTCTTCCAATCATACGAAGAAATCCAGTCGATTAGAGGTATAGATTTCTTTAAAAGCGCAGTCGGTTTGATTCTTTTGCATCTCTTCGACACCTCCTTACTAACTGCCGAGCAGCAAATTATATTTAATTAAGCGTAAAATAAGTAATCGATGTATTTGATTTGATTGTTTAACATGTAATAGTTATATATAAATTAAGGCAATTCTCGACTCCAACTCGAATTTATTGTCAAAAAAATTGCACGACTTTACAATTATATAATTTATCACCTAGAGCACAGGAATATTCTATGAATGTTATATGAATAATTATTTATGAATATTTGTTCATTCTATGAATGTGTAGTAAAAACACTGTTATATGTTTGTGGTACGTTTATACTATATTCAAATAACACAATTTCTATCAATAATAAGTTCTATGAATGTGCATATAATATTTACAAAATGTAAGTTAATTATTATTTTACAATTATAAAGGAATAATTTGAATATTTTATTTCATAGTTATGTGTATTTTATTATTAAATTAAATAATAAATCAGGATTGGCTAAGTTAATTTTTTAAAATTAAGTTTAAAGTTAATTTTAAATCGCTTTAAAAAATTACTTTAGTTAAGTTAAAAGTATAAACAAAAATCAACTTAATTAAAAGTTAAGTTAAAATTGGATGAAATTATTAAATTTAGATGTTAATTACGTAAAGCAATATATGTGTTTTTTGTACAAATTTTAATTGTAAGTTGAATTATGTGACATAATGAAAATATAATTTTTTATCAGAAAATACCGAATGTTTCAGGGTTTCATATAAGAAAAAACTAGCGCTCAGAGAAACAAAAAATCATATTGACATTACTGTTGATATTTCTTATTTTACATTGTCAATAGTCCGCAATGATTTTAATATTGATAAACTATTTTAACTTATATATGTCCTAGATTCTCCTCTACAGTTTTTGTAAGAATGTAAAACGGATTAAAGTAAACATAAAAGTCTTACACCATTTTGCGATATTTGATAATAATCGAAATATTAATTAAAGAAGATTAGTGAATGATCACGCGCGATAGTAGATGAGCTGTAATGGAGATGTGTGCTGCTGTGTGCTTGTACATTAGATCAAAACAAAAAGTCGTTTATCATTTTGCAAATAATCACATAGACTTCTAGTTATTAATGAAAGAAAACTGTGATGATTGTGCGCGATAATGCACACATTTCTTTAATATCTAAAAATGTATATAATCATTTGCAAAATAATAAAGAACTTTTTTGTTCAATTTGACTTAATGTATAAGTGTACAATGATAAACGACGACATTACAGTTTACCATTGACCAATTTTCTTTACTTAATATCTCGAGATTTATTGCGAATATCGCAAAACGGTATGAGGCTTTTATATATTCATCATAATTCATCCTACATTCCCATAAAAATTACGAAGAGGAACTTAAGACACTCTATACAAAAGTTATTGAGTTCAATTTAATATATTTTAAGATAACTAGTTTAAAAGTTGAAAGATATTAACTTTTCTTAACTTTCTAAATTAATCCTTAAATAGTGAATAGAAAGGTTATTTGTGTCCGAACATTTTAATGGTTTTGCATTTCTCCTTGTCCTAAAATTTCTAAAGTTTCATATATAATTAAAAAATAGTTAATATAGTAAAAACATTTGAAGCTCAGTAGCGACTGAGTTACTGTTTGTATAATAGCCAGAGCAAATCGACACAAATAATACTTTTATTCACTTAACTTGTATTTCTTATATAATTAAATATAAATTTGTTTTTGTTTATATATTATATATTTCAATAACGTTTGAAGTTATTTTAATATATGTATGTAACTAATGTGATAATTTCAAACTTTGGCGAAGCCGTTAAACTAGAAAACACGGAAACGGTTACTTAATAAATTTTTGCAGTTGCATATTTTTTTTTCGATTTTTTGTACTTGTATTTCTTACTTCTTTTCTTACTTTTGTACAATGCGTAAAATTGTTTCCTTTTAATGTTACTTAGCTTTATGTTACTTAGCTTGAAAAATACATATATCGTTTTCACAAATAATTTAGCTTTTTTCAAGATATCACAATAAACTATCTTTTTAATGAATTGTTACGGTTTTAAATATAAAATCCCACAACTCTCTCCTTTTCTTTTTTAAGAGACATTACAAAAGTTATATTTTTTAAAACAAAGTAGTTTCATTCATAGGTTCTTTAAAAATATAATAAAAAAAATAGATGTAATTTTATTTTTTAATAACTTTATTAGTTAAGGATTAAAAAAGCTATATTTTATTGAAATTTTTCATAATTTTTTAATAATTTTAAGTTGACGAAAAAATGCATGGAACATTAGTGATCCCTTCCTATTTACTATTAAAGTATCGAAAATCTTATACCTATCCACAGTAAGGTTAATTTTTAACTGATTAATTAGTTATTACCCAAGCTATAATAAATGCATATTACTATTCGTAATATTTGAAAAACTTTTCAGTTACACGAATGCATATGGGAAGTAAATAAACTTTAGGACGTCTTCAGAATATTCTTTTCTATTACAAATATACAAATCTTTATCTAGAAGATTGCATTTATACTCATTGAATATCCGATTCAAATATTTTAAGAATCTTCGTATTTCATAAGAATATTCATAAAATCTTTTGCATTATTTGCACATTGTTAGTTCAAAATTTGGGGGCCAACCCGTATTGGTGTGACTCCGCGTTCCGAAAAGACGTTGGCCTTCATCTAAGAGCTCTATTCCGTTCTCTTCTGATCAATTTACCAGTTTCGACCGGTTCTGCTTGTAACGTGCGAAGTAGTGGTCAACGTTTCGTCGCGGCGGAGCGGTTTCCCGAGCAAACGCGCGAGTTCAAGTAAAAGGCCAGGCGCGGTGAAAGGTAAAATTAGCGCGCGCGTTCCCGAGTAAATCTCGATACTTACGGATCCTTTTGGGCTTCACGTATTTGTACAAGTGATTAAGCTCGTCCTGCTGGTAGACCGGCCGTCTGACTGTCAATTCCGGGCCGTTTGTCGACATGTCGTCGCTCAAGTAGTCTGCGAACGAGTAAGAATCGGATGAAGAACGTGCTCGGTGTGTGAGATCGCGCGCGCCACCATGTATGTTTTTTCCTCGGCCAGCTAATTGATAGAACGATCATCGTCGTAGTTCGTTGTTATCGAGCCGTTTAGTTGGCCCATTCTACCGAAGTCTCGAACGGAAAATACCTGTGATTACAAACTACGCATCCGCGGGTGTGTCGTCGTGTGTGATCTGAGAACTCATCGTGCTGTTTGAGGCGCCAATTTCATCGATACGATTTAATTAAGTCGTACGACGTAATTAACAGACAAACTCTGGAAGATAAACGAACCGAGTGCGATGTATCTTTGCATATTTTGACCCAGAACTTTAAGATTGGTGTAAGCAAATTTCGTTTGCCCGGCGTAAACTGAAGCGTGTATCGGCCAAAAGATCGAATTTGCATGGCACGTGGCTCGCATTCCCAGAAGTTGATCGAGTAAACGATAATGCGATTGAGTCATGAGAGAGGATTGTTTGATTTGATCGCATGACATGTTGCATCGGTAAACATTTGTGGTGCATTTTCGGGAAAATTCAATTATAGATGTCCACGCGGGACGAGATTGCTGACGTCCACTTGGGATGAAATTATCGAGGAATCATTCATTATAAAAAGTTGCGATACCGTGAATATTCTTGAAAAATACACGGTCTACTTTTGATTGAATTGCATAATATAAGATTGTATTAAGGTAGTTGTATCGTTAAGTATCATATTTTCAATATAAATTTTATTGGAGCAACAAGAGAGTCGCTCATAAATTTACTATTTATCAAACAAAATTACGTTCTTATATATTTATTTCACTATCTAAATGACAAATGTTAATTTAAAACAAAGATTGATATCAGTTTATACACACAATATATATATATATATATTACAAATACAGAAATATTTTTTATTTATTTTTATTAGTGTTTTATTTATGAGTCAGTTGATCTAATAGATGTGTACATATAATAGAAAGAGATATGAAATGTTTAAATATGTTTCGAATATTACTATAAATTATGAACTTTCTATCAACGTTGTAGGGACAGAATTTTATAGTAAAAATTATTATAGAATTTTGTAATCAAGGGATTGATCGACATTCGGCAGTAATTCACTATCCCTTGATTTCATTTATATGCTACTTATATTTTAGATAATAAAATGTGTTAATAAAAAAATTTGCTATGTTTTTAGCAAAATTTACTATGTTCTTCGGCAAGATAAACCTTATAATCTTACTAATGCCTAACTTGCAATGCGTTTTTTGTTTCCTGTTTCTTTGTATTTATCTCGTTTTTGCTTAAATCTTAAGTCTTAAGCCAGAAAAAGATAGAAAACAAAAAACAGGAAATAAAGAACATATTGTAGATCAAGTTTAATTGATTTTCCTACACTACGAGAAACATAATAAAATTGAAACAAATCTATATGAAAAATATTATAATTTTCTTTCCATATGTACTTTCAAAATAAAAATAGCCAACAATTCTGAGATTTGTATATAATGTCGATATATCTTTAATATCGTAGTAATCTTTTATCAGTCATCTGGTTAAATAACCAGACATGTTTAGTTAGTTTACCAAAAATCTTGTTAACTTAAACAAAATTTGGGTTATTTCAATCGAAATTTCTCGATCGTTTATATTCAACCAGATATTTGGTTAATTCAACCAAATCTTTTTTCTTCGTATAGTTATAGAAGATATTAAAAAAAGAAATTAAAAATAAAATGTTAATCTCAAGAAACACGTACACAAAATGTCAACTTTAGTTACAAATATCTTAGCTCTCAAATGGCAGATCTCTTTCTAACTGCACGTGCAATAATATTTTAATGTACACACAGAGAGCAAGTTTCAATTACTAATCGTGAAACTCACATCATTATACAACTACCTTAATAGAAAAGCTGATGCATAATTCTTCATCATAGAAAACCAATTATATTCAAGAATCTCTCTTAAAAATATGAACTTCTGCGCCGATTCTATCATAACGAGTAAAGTCTACGAGTAAAGTAGCGACATAAACGCTAAATTAACTTAACTTAAAGCTCGCGCGTCTAAACGGCCGACAGCTATTCGGGAGCCAATAACTTTTATCACCTAATACCTAAATCACGCATGACTCGAGACACAATTGTGTCACAATAAATTCACGTTCACGAGCGTGACATTACGACCAAGTGTTTGTTTCTATGATTGATTCGACAACGTGGCATTCTAATTGATAACAATTGTCAGTGGTTATCGTAGTAAGTAGCGATGCAAAAAGGTGTTGCAATTATATCAGTATTTTGATCGCGAACTACCTGTAGACATCGTAGAAGGTGTCTGTCCCCGAGAAGAACTATAGAAAGGCACTACGGAACTTGAAAGATTGTTCACCGAAACCTCTAACCGCGGTATGATAAGCGGACTTCCTCGGACTAAGCGGAGTTGATAACTAAGCAGTCGTGCCTGCAACGCTACTAATTCGCCGGTATTCCAATTCAATGTTTTTTCGGCAATCATTTGCGCTCGGCATATTCACGACACCGCATACTTCCTGTTAGGGTTTGGTCGCACGTCGCTAATTGGGCTATACAAGAGATAATACATAAGGAGATTACAATCGCGTTTATGAGCCAATCACCATTACGTCGACAGATACGCCCCCGAATTGCGGATTAACATGGTACACAGACGAGGGAAGGGTTAAGGAGTTCTCGTTAGATCGACGTCATGGTATCACATGACGTCAAGAGAATGAGGAAACGAAGAAGAGTACGCAATCGATGCGTGCCACGCGTTGGTCCACCATATCGCGCGATCATACACAGAGAAAAAAATGTTTGGTATTTGTTGTAGTCACACACATAAAGAAATAATTACTATAACTTATAATAAAAAAACTATTTTTTTACTAAATTCTACTATAATGCTAGTGATAATAACTTTATGTATATGCATGTTACTACTATCATTTTCATGTTAGAATAACAAAAAATATATTTGAGGTAAAGAGTATACTTTTGTTTAAACCAATCATCTTTTTTCTCAGCAGAGGAGAGAAATTTAACGTTTGAATACCAAGATATCCGAGAAATTTTGATTTTACTTTCGACCTCAATATTCCATTTAACGTCTATTTTAATACTCTGAAGCCTATATAAACTTCTTTTGATTTTATTTAATTTACTAGCTTTGTGCTTGTCCTCTTTAGAAGCTACAAATAGCATTCTGTTTTCTGCTATTTAGAGGCGGTAAATAGGATTTCAGTTTCCATATATATTATACACATACACTGATCTTTTTAGAACATATACACACGCTAGAAAATTTAGGTCCAAAGTAGATTTAAAATTTCGACTAAGGCAATCAAAATGACAGATTTCCAATTTCTTATAAAAATTACTCGAATTTGTAACGGTGCATATTATATTTTTTATTGTAATACTCAATAAAATTACGAAGAATAAATAAATATTTGTTTTCATGCATTGTGTGTTTTTTCAGAACTTGCCATTTTGAACTTACCGCTCTGATAGAAATAAGTAGTTAATTCTAGCATTAAAATTTCTAGTGACACTTGAAGGAAGGTGAAGTAAGTTTTCCGTAAGAACTTGCGGAACATAAATGTATCTCTAATGCTTTTCATGCTTCTTTTGTAAAATCAACTTTTACACGCGATACAGGAAACGTGATTGCCAATTAGATTTGATCGACTTTCTCATCGAGAACGAATGTTTGCATAACGGAATAGGAGAGCTCATAGATGCGCGTTTAAGACGTCAGTTTTCTCGTGACTTATTTTATCGTTAATCGTCGTTACACTTACCGTAATATACGATTATCTATAGCGTTTGTGTCGAGGAAAAACGAGAGGGGCGTCACGAGACAGCTTCGCGGGGACGAACGTGTCGCGGTGTCGGTGGTCGAATTAGAGATCCGGTTAGTCGAATTTCACTGCGTTCGCGCCGATTTCGCCGCCGATTCGATAATTAATTAAACGCGCGCGTGGTTTCGCGAGCCACAAACGCGCGCGGCGATAAACGAGCGCGTAATGCGCCGCACGCAGCTCTTTCCCGCGATACACACGTGCGCTATCTCGCGTAGATGCTCGCGTAACGGGTATAACGTACGCGTACAACAAATTCAAAGATTCGTTATACATGATGTAGTGTGTTATTCCTTTTGAACCAATATCGTCATCGTAGTGCGGTATCGCCTACTACAGCAGAACAAATCGTCCGAAAACAGATGCATCGCCGACGCACCGACACTATCACAATCCGGTTATATTGGTGTCAATGATAACGAACGAGTTTAACGTACACTCGCGCCAAGTGTCTCCGCATGTTTCTTTCGACGCGCTGCGTGTCAAATAATTCGCCTCGTTCTTCAAAAATATTTAAACTATGATGTCGAGGCTTCTATGTCACATATACTAACAGCTGGGTCACTAACAGCTTGTTTCGTTTAATTTACACGGTGTGATTCTAGTGTAATTCAACTAAGCCCTTTCAGAGAGAAGATAAAGGAAAATCGTAAAGGGAAAAGTTGTACGGCTCAATTGCACTTTCGACTCGCTCAGGCATTATTATTTTCTTCGCAGATTTAATAATGCGTCGACGAAGTCATTACATTTCTTTTTTTAGATAAAGTCACATCAAACATTTTGTTCGAAAATATAAACATTATTTAAACGAAAAAGCGTCATAGTAGTTTTGTCCTATTAATGTACACTTATAACGTAAAAAAAATTTGAAAAATATAACCTAACCTAATCTAGGAAATTTAGAGAGCAAAGTATAAAACGCGCAGAAATAATATTTTTTCAAGAAATATAATACTTTTTCTAGCTTAAAAACGCATGTAAAGAAAAATTCCGATAATGAATTACATCTTTTATATATATTATGCAATACTTATGCTAAACAAAGAAAAAGTTTCGTTGAACTGATCCGATAATAAACGAACCAATGCGTTTTGGTTGAAGGAAATAGAATCGTTGGTTTTTAGAAATGAATTTGATTCATAAGAACAAGAAATTCTTAAATTAAAAATCAATTTCATAAATTTGTTTGTGCAAAAAATCTCCCGCAAAATGATCACAGGGCAATACAATCGACACAGTTACAATTGCTCAGTTAACTGCCCAGAAACGTGACGAATATTTCGTCTTTCTGTAATTATCATAGACTCGTATACACAATACTATATATTACACATTAGTTATTATCCAAGATTAAATACTATAACGTCAAAAATACACACTTTTTACTTTTCTGATATTTTTTTATATATGTACAGTAAATTTATATATCATCAGTTTACAAAATACAGATATTTCAAAAATAAATAAACATGATTTTTTAAAATGCTCATTTATTTTACTTTATCAAGTTGATATAAATAAATGACTATTGACAAAAATCATGACGTCCATTTACTTTTGAAATATCTGTATATTTGATGAAACTATTCTTGTCTTATTACTTTTATGTACAGGGTATTCTAGACCTCCACAATTTTTTAAATATAGGAAGGATTGAGATGAACATATAAAAATCCCATACAATTTTGCGATATTTATAATAAATTTCAAGATATTAATTACAGAAAATTAGTGAATGATTACGCGCGATATGATAGGTAAGCTGTAATGATACCGTCTGCCGTTTATACTTTTATACATTAGGTTAAACTAAATGAGAAACGTCTTTTACCGTTTGCAAATGAATATATTTTCTGATACTAATTAAAGAAGATTTGTGCATTATCGCGCACAATCATGTAACGATTTTCTTTCATTAATAACTAAAAATCTACATGGTTATTTGCAAAATGATAAAGGCAGTGGCGTAGCCAAAAAAAAATTTCGGGGGGGGTTGTACTTTTTATTTTTGACGAATAAAAAAAGGTTATTCGAAAAAATTTTTCTCACATTTAGCGTAACCCAGAAAATTAATTTGGGGGGGGGGGTTGCAGCCCTCTCAGTCCCCCTCCTGACTATGCCACTGGATAAAGGGCCTTTTTGTTCAATGCACAAGCACACAATAGCATACATTGCCACTAGAGCTTATCTACCATGTAATCATTCGCCAATTTTCTTTAATTAATACTTATTATTGCAAATATCGCAAAACGGTATAGGACTTTTGTTTACTTCAATCTGTTCTATGTTCTAACAAAAATTGCAGAGGAGAATCTGGAACAATCTGGATAAATTTTGTCTTAATATTGTAATTATATTCCAGAAAGAATCGTGATTAAACGATTAAATATTTATTTGAATACACATACCTTTTTGTGTAACTTTATCATTTTTTTACTAAAAACACGCGCAATATAAGCCTTATAAATTATATCATTAGGATTCTGTATCGTTAAATCAATTATGTATTATTAACTCAATATTTTCTACGTGTTTTTCCAAGCAACGCGTATAAGTAAATAAGCGATAATATTCGTGAGACTACATTATTGTTATTGTTACATCATAAACATTATAAAAATTATCGTTGTCAAGAGGAAAAAATAACATACAAAAACTTTTATTTTAGCGACGTAAATGACGGTGAGTCACGTAAAATCGATGTATTACGGAATAAAAAAAACCTTTAACCTTTTATACCTTTAACCTTTAACCTTTAACCTTTTAACGCTATATAACTTTGAAAGGAACAATTATATATTTACATTAAATAAAATAGACTTGAAAATTTATTATAAAAGTTATATCTTTATTGTAAAAGTGTTTTTGCAAAGTCTGATATATTTGTAAAGTCTGATATAAATTACAAACGCAGGTGAGCAGATAGAAATATGTTTGGTAGATCATAAATTGAAACGTGAGAAGATAAAAATAAATAAATAAACAAACGGAAACATAACTTTTTCTTTTACCTCGTTTTTTAAAAGTAAAGAAATCTGGTTTAGGGGATTAATTACACAAAAAGAAACATTTGTTTAGATTAACCAGTTTCTAGTGAAATATGAGCGAACCAGAAAATTCCGATTTATATTATCAAAATTCTGTTCAAGTTAACTAGAAATCTAGTTGGTAATTTCAATTGAAATTTCTGATTTATTTATATTTTACTAAAAATTTGCTTAATCCAATTTCTTTCTTTTTATACGTAACGAAGAGAAAATTTTATGAGGAAAAATGCTACTTAATGATTAAAAAGTTACATTTATTCAATTAAACGTCGATATCAAGTTGACGTGAATATAAACAGTTGATTTAACTTTTGTCATTGGTTTCAATTGTAACATTTTTATTGAAAGAACAATCTATTGTCATTGAATTAATAATATATCATGTTGTGTTTAAAATACGCGCACTGAATGCTGTTTACAATTCATACAATTTAATGTTTTTAAATATAATATTATGTTATTAATTTAAAGACGGTACATTGGTCTTGCAATAACAAATAAAAAATAATGACAACCATTGTTGAATTAACTACGTATTCGTGGCTGTCCGCACATGACTCCGGCGTTTAATTGAATGAACTAAATGTTTTTGCTCTTTTGAACAACATTTTTATAGCTTATAATGTTTATGATAACCGATAGTCAACATTTAGTTAAGCTAATTTTTCTTACTAATTCAACGATATTCCTCTTAAATTGTATTACTTTGTGAAACTCAGCTATTTATTTATGAAGCATACTATATATTTTTTTCCGTACTCTTTTCAAACTTGGATTATAATCTTCGTTATCTATCCGATCGACGTTACTTGACCTCAAAGAAACAAGTGCTATCAAGAATCTCTATGTGATCGTTGAGCATCAATAACTCTACTTAACCTCATATCAATGTATATGTAATTACTTATTTAAATTAATTCCATATGTAGTTGAATCAATTATATAGGTATATATATACAGTGTGTCCCATAAGTTCGGCAACGGCAAGAAAACTTGGCGGGGGAGCATTTTAGAGAAAAATGTTTCGAATAAAAGTTGTAAGGCTTAAAAAGTCGCATTTAATGACAGTAGTTATTTGACCTAAGATGACGTCGCCAAGGTCAGGACAAGGTCAACTTTGCTTTTTTAGATAGAAATACATATTTTTTATTACGGCATTTTATTTTACGTGAAAAAGCAAACAACTTTTATTTGAAAAAATTTTTTATACGACCTCTATTTTCTAAGATATTTACGTAAATATCTACAAAATTATTGGTTTCAATAATTTTTTACTTGAATTCTATTAACTTTACCGAAAAATATTAAGAGATAAAAATTGCTTATTTTGTTTTCAAAAAACTCTGAGAATTTTTTCAGAATTTTGTGTTAACTTTTTAGTACTTCAAGAAAATGCAGTACTAAAAAATTAATATAAAATTCTGAAAAAATTCTCAGAGCTCTATGAGAACAAAATAAATAATTTTTATATTGAGACATCCTTATTGTTTTGATTCTTATATATATATATATATATATATATATATATATAT